TTAGAACAAGCTTGATAAATATCAGAAAAATCAGCATCAGAAGCATATAGTTCTTTAATTTGCTCAAAGCCTAAGAGTTTGGCATCAAGAGTAGAGAGAAGTGTATACCGTCTAGACAATGCGTCGGCCACGACATTGTCCTTACCTTTCTTGTATTTGATCACATAGGGAAAGGTTTCTATGAACTCGGCCCAGCGAGCATGCCTCTTGTTGAGCTTCTGTTGGCCTTTGAAGTGCTTGAGTGATTCATGATCAGTGTGGATAACAAACTCCTTCGGCCAAAGATAGTGTTGCCATGTTTGTAAGGCTCGGACCAAGGCATAGAGCTCCTTGTCATAAGTTGGGTAATTGAGAGTGGCTCCTCCAAGTTTCTCACTGAAGTAGGCAATCGGCTTCTTGTCTTGCATGAGAACAGCTCCTATTCCAATTCCTGAGGCATCACACTCAATTTCAAAAGTTTTAAGAAAGTCAGGCAACATAAGAACAGGTGCATTAGTAAGTCGATCCTTAAGAGTCTGAAATGCTTCCTCCTGTGCCTTCTCCCATTTGAAACCAACTTCCTTCTTGATAATCTCAGTCATTGGCGCGGCTATAGTGCTAAAATCCTTAACAAACCGCCGATAGAATCCGGCCAAGCCATGAAAGCTTCTGACTTCTCCAACGGTCTTAGGACTAGGCCAGTCCCGGATAGCTGCGACCTTCTCTTCATCAACCTGTACGCCATCTGCACTCACCACAAAACCTAGAAACACCACATTATTGTACAAAAGGTGCATTTCTTCAAGTTGGCGAACAGCTTTCCTCCCTAAGGACTTTCATGACCGCGGCAAGGTGCTTAAGATGATCATCAAAGGTCCTGCTATAGATCAGAATATCATCAAAATAAACAACCACAAAATGACCAATGAAAGACCTAGACATGATTCATCAACCGCATGAAAGTACTTGGCGCATTGGTCAAGCCAAATGGCATCACAAGCCACTCATATAGACCATGCTTGGTTTTAAAGGCGGTTTTCCACTCATCACCTTCCTTCATCCGGATTTGGTGATAACCACTCTTAAGATCAATTTTAGAGAAGATGCAAGACCATGTAACTCATCTAAGCATGTCATCAAGTCTAGGAATAGGGTGTCGATACTTTACAGTGATGTTATTGATGGCGCGGCAGTCGACACACATTCTCCAGCTTCCATCCTTCTTAGGAACAAGAAGAACAGGAACAGCACAGGGCTCATGCTCTCTCTAATGTGGCCTTTCTCCATGAGTTCATCCACTTGGCGCTGAAGCTCCTTGGTCTCAACCGGATTGGTTCTGTAAGCCGGCCTGTTTGGTAAAGTGGAGCCGGGGACAAAATCAATCTGGTGCTCAATACCTCGGACAGGAGGTAAGCCTGGTGGACTATCCTCAGGAAAGACATCACTAAAGTCCTGCAAAAGTTGAGCTAGTTCACTCGGAATCTCCGGTGGAGTATGAGTCAAGCCAATCAAATGTTCCTTATATATAAATAAAAGAAAAGGTTTGTTTAAGTTCAAGGAACGTTTAACCTGTTTTGGCTTCACCAGGAAGTTCTTTGGCTTAGGAGACTTAGGTGGCTTAACTTCCTTTCCAGCGAGTTGTAACTGATCTTCATAAACTTCTTGTGGACTCAAAGGAATCAAAGTGGTTTTACGGCCCTCATGAAGAAGAGTATAGCGGTTTGTGAATCCATCATGGATCACACGCCTATCAGATTGCCAAGGCCGTCCTAAGAGATGATGTGACCGGCGTCCATGGGTAGAATGTCACAAAGGATCTCATCCTTGTAGTTGCCAATGGACAAGGGCACAACCACTTGGTTCTTGACTCCCATCTCTCCAGTTTCATTCAGCCAGTTAAGCTTATAAGGCCGCGGATGCGCCTTGATAGTTAAGCCCAATTTCTCAACCATAGTTTCACTCGCCACATTGGTACAGCTTCCTCCATCGATGATCAAGCTGCACACCTTATCTTGGACTAACACCGAGTGTGAAAGAGGTTCTCGCGCTGCTCATCCTTGATCAGTCTGACTTGAGTACTCAAGACACGTCTGGCCACCAAAAGTCTGCCTTGGACAGGCACGGCTTCATACTCCTCAGGCTCTTCTTCTTTCTCTGGTTTCTCCGGCTCTGGATCCTCCTCGGACTCAATCTCTCCATTGTCGCGGATGATCATCACTTTCTTGTTCAAGCAGTCAGAGGCATAATGCCCAAACCCTTGACACCTAAAGCACTTGAGATCACGGGTTCTGGCTGGTGGAGTGCGCTCAGTCCGGCTCCTGTCTTGATTAGTAGCCAGAGGTTTCATTTCTGACTTGGGCGCGAAAGGTTTAGAGTCGCGAGTAAAGGTTGGTCGGCGCGGCTCTGAATTGAATCGAGTGGAGCTTCTCCTCTTTAATTGTGTCTCGGCCAAGACTGCCTTGTGGAACATGGATTCAAGACCCACACAATTTTGCATCTCCACAATATCTTGTATCTCACGGTTCAAGCCTCCAAGGAATCGAGACATAGTGGCCTCGCGATCTTCAACCACATTGGCGCGCAAAGCATTACCTCCATCTCTTGGTAATATTCTTCCACAGACTTGGATCCCTGAGTAAGCTTCCTGAGCTTGGAGTGTAGCTCACGTTGGTAATGGCCAGGGACAAATCGCTGCCTCATGATGCGCTTCATTTCTTCCCAAGTAGTAACCTCAAAGGCACCACCAATCTCGCGCGCTAAAATGATTTGTTCCCACCATCTCAACGCATAATCGTTGAACTCCGAGACGGCTAGCTTGACACGGTTGTCTCCAATGATGTTGTGCAAGTTAAATTGAACTCGCACTTCTTTTCCCAATCCATGTACTCGTCCGGATTGTTTCGGCCATGAAAGGTGGAATCCTCATCTTGTAGCCGCCCAAGTTCTCAACCATACGGTTGGGCTCTTCTCGCTGCCTTCTAGCTCGGCGCCGGCTTGAGTGAGAGGAATGACCGCTGCCGTAGTAGGCATGGGCCTGATCGTCTCCGAGACCATGAGATGCCATGGGATCGTTCCTCTTGTCTCCATCGGAGATATGTATCGGATTCCTAGTCTCCTTCCTCTTGCCTTGTTTGATCTGTCTCTCCGATCAAACTCGTCGCCATCATCTTCTTGATCTGATCAAGCAAGGCCTCTCCAACACCGCTGGATCCTTCTTCCTTGTCCGTCGCCATGGTACCTGAAATTTAAACCAAAACCGCGGCAGTCAAAAGTTCAAAGGAAGTATTGTTGCAACAATTTTAAAAATCATAGAAATAATTTTAAAAATTATGCAACCACTCAGAGATGATAGATCTATGCGGAAATGATCAGAATAAATTGTGGCAAAATTATTAAAATTATGGAATAAATTAAAAATGCAGTGATGGGCGATGATGATCAAATGGATGATGAAACAAGTGATGGATGATGAACAAATGATTTCAAAATGATCGAAAAGTAACCTTGATGAGTAAACAAGCATTGGATGTGAAGGATATGACAATGGAAACAATGAAATGATCAATGGCACAACAACAAAGCAAAATCATTTCAAGATCTACGATTCTCAGATTTGGAAGATGAACAGTTATAAACATAAAATCGAGATCACTTAGCTTTAAGGAGCTCTGATACCAACTGATACGCCCCTGGAGTAGATCGGCTTGAAAGCTAAGTGTTTGAGCGGATTGGAACACAAAGGATCCAGTGATGAATGATGAAAGATGGATCGAGTGGCTATACTAGAGAACCCGCGTAATTGGATCTCTAACACCACCTTCGACTTGTTGATATTACACACAACAAGTGAAAGGCTTTCTCTGTGGACTTGATTGATATTACACACAATAAGTGGACAGAGTGATTGATCAAGCATAAAAGAGGTTTTTGATTTAAAATGATTGATAAGTTTCAAAAGAGAAAGAACTAGGGTTTTAAAGAGAAAACGAGAGAGAGATGGAACACGCTCCAAACATCTCGAAAACATACGAAAACATAAATGCAACTAAGACTGAAAAACGACCCTTCGGTTGCCTTGGCGCTCCATTTGAATCTCTCTTGGGCCGGACCTTAACATATGGAATGGAAGAGATGGTTTGAAAGTGTGCTATGGGCCTCGTTAAAAACCTTGTCAAGAAAACCCAAAGGGACAACACTTGACAAGGGAAAAAGAGCACACCATAACACACTTGTCTCTTTATTCCACATGCAAGGCTTCCAAACAAACTAGGGTAATAGGTTTGGTTTCTTGCTGACTCAAACATCTAAGGACTTTGCCAATCACTTGGTTTAGTGCCTTAGTTCGTGAACGGGTCACTGGGCCAGTTCGAATGGCTTTGATCTCCTCAGGTACAAGCTGCGCGGCTTCAAGTCCATCCGCGGCTACAAGCTGCTCCATTCCATCTTCTTCCTCGGCCAAAAGCTGCTTTTCCTGAACCTCCTCATCCATGATCGCATCACTTGTTCCTTGTTGGGCGGCTTGAGAGGACATGGGCGAGCATGGAGAGGTTCTGCTCGGCCATCAAAGTCGCGCCAACTATGAACATTCTTCTTGTGGTATATCTTCTTTACCATTGTGTGGTTCTTAGATTCCTGTATCCAAAACTCAAAACAAAACTAGACATTAACTAAAACTAATTGAAAAGAAAAGATAAGAAAAACACCTTTCATGGGTTGCCTCCCATGCAGCGCTTCTTTTGAGTCATTAGCTTGACTGATAGGATCTCTTAGTTGGAGATGGGGTAAGGGCACGGCCTGAGACATAGTCTTTTAGTTCTTGTCTCATTGTGACCTTGAGTGTGGTCTGGTGGTTCTCTTGGGCGGCCTTGGGCAGTGATGAGGTAAGACAGCTTGTTTGGTGAGGTGAATGGTATGGTCTTGTAAAAGACTGTCTTGTCAACATTGGCTAAAGACATTCGCCGGTTTGGAAGGTCCATGACAGCTCCAGCAGTGGCTAAGAAGGGGCGGCCTAGTATCAATGGTGTGTCACATCCTCCTTGATGTTCATGACATGAAAGTCCACCGGGATCTTGATATCTCCAATCTCTAGAAGAACATCAATAACAACTCCTCTTGGCTTGGCTATAGTATGGTTAGCAAGTCCAATACTAATTTGAGCAGGTTGCAAGCGTGTGATGCCAAGGAGTTTGGCGGTTTGGGTTGGCATGAGGTTTATGCAAGAGCCAGAATCGCATAGTGTTCTATCAAAGTAATGACCATTTACTTGACAGGGAATAGAGAATTGACCTGGGTCTTCAATCTTGTAGAGGGTCTTGAAGGTTGGCTGAACTTTAGCTTTCTCAAAAAGCTCCTTGATATCCTCAGGTGTCTCTCTTGCAGTTGTGGAAGAAGGTGGTGAATGGGTAGTGGCACCAAGCTTGTTGGAAGGACATGCTGGCTGGAAGAGTTTGGACAAACTGATTGAACTCAGCAAGCTTCTCTCTTGATATGGAATTGACATACCACTGGGGTGGTGGTGAAGATGGTGGTGATGATGGTTGATTGACTGCATGAGGGGCAAGGGGAAATCGTGCCTTCTGAAAAAGTTGGTGTATTTCTTCTTTGTTTTCACTAGTTGTGAAAAAGAAGTCCACTAGACCATGTTTATCCCAAGCTTCTTCAAAAGTGACATAGAATGGAAGTGATTTTACCTTTTAAGGCCCTTCTAAAGTTGATGCTACGTCCTGGAGCTGTCTTGAAGTCAAATCCTGTGTTTTGCTCCAAAATGCATCATTTCACCTGTTTAGACTCTAGTACTATAAATCCATAAAAACTACCTTTTTAGATAGAAAACCTGCCAAAAACCATTAGAAAACATAGTAAAACATATAAAAAGCATGTAAAATAGAGGTATATCAACTCCCCCAGACTTAGATCTTTGCTTGTCCCCAAGCAAAAGAATCTAATCCGTGAAAGAGGTTTGAAAACGTGGAAACTCCCTTGCTCTTTTGAATATCCTGTGAAGGTTCCTTTCCTGTATTCCACTAAGAACATAGGCAACATAAGGTTAGCTTCACATACACCCTGCAAGTTTAGCGAACAATACCAACCCAACTAGTCTCATCCAGCAATCCAAACTCTCTATTGCTAACCTCTTGCATAAATTTAAAGCGTGAGTTCTTTATCAAGGGAACATCGATCAATTGAACTTGTTCTTACCCACTTGATCTTCTCCAAGATTGTCTTTGAAGTGCAATGAGTTCTTTTCCTCTCTCTTTCTCACATCAGAACTTTGAAAGGTCAATTTCTCCCTACTTTTCTAGGGTATCATTTTATTTTTTCTATTGACCCTTCTTTCAACCACAGGATAAGTCTTTAGCTTGTTCCTTGTTTGACTAAGGTATTCCATAAGACATGAAGGTACAGACATATGCATTCCTCATGCTTACTTGTTTTCCTTGTGCTCTTTGAGCTTTTCTCATAAACATTACTTACCATTTGGGATGGGAGAGAGAGGAGAACTCTTTAGACAAATCTCATTGAAAATCAAGCAAGGAACTGTCGACATGTATGCCAATCCCCTTGACAAGAGTTATTAAGATTGATTAAGGGTGAGGTTAACTCTAGATTGCTTGGTTACCTTAGAAATTTCGCTGAGCTAGCATGTCGATCCACTGTAAGAGCTTCTGTTAGGCTTGTGCCTTTAGCTGATGTCTGCTCTAGGGTCATAGATTGTTAGCACAACACTCAAATCTCAAAGCAAGTTCATAATTTCCGGACTGGTTTTGACTCAATAAAACAAAATTTTTGAAAAAGGTGGAAAAGAGAATAAAATATAAGATGAAGACAAGGCATGAACAAACACATTAGTACCAACAATCCCCCCAGACTTAACTTGCACCGTCCCGGTGAAAGCAAATCCGATTAAGGGAGGAAAAAGAAATATGTAGTAATGTGTGAGTGAATGAGAAGAAAGATATAACCTGATTAGACATTAAGTCCATGAAGAAACGACCTAGTGGTAGTATGTGGTTGTCCTTTGTCCTTTGATAGCTTGAGATAAGCTTAACAAACCTTCTCCATGTGATTTCGGTCGGTGAGTTTTGAATTTCAGGGCTTGGTTCACTCCGGGTTGCGTTTTGGCCGAGATGGGACATTTCGGTCGACCGGAGGGTAGTGCTATGGACCACAGCTCAAAATATAATGAATTCCTCGACCCATATTTAAATTTCATCGACCAACCTCATATTTTATGCCTCTGGTGAAGTTTGAGAGCATTCGAACGAGTGGATTGAGAGATCCTTCACAAAGTGGTCAATATGGCTCCAGAAGAGGTTTCTTGGCCATCCTTGAGTTTGGCTCGTTCGTTTTGTGATCTTCCTTTGGAAATGTGTTATGAAGCTCCAGGAAGTCATTTCCATCCGGAGTTCGCGCCTATGCCGTGATTTGGTTTTGTCGGCCATTTGGTTGCACCGCGGACGACCGGATGGGGCTCTTCGGTCTATCTCCTGAACCGTGAACATTTCACCGTCCTATCTTTTGGATTGCCGACCAAAATATGATTTTATGGTCGCCTGTGAAGTTTGGTGGACTTTGAACATACAGTTGAGGAGTTGGCCGAGATTATTTCCTTGTACTCGCATGGCCGAGAGAAATAGGCCGGATGGAATTCTTCAAATCCACTCGGGCCAATTGAGATTTTCTTCGACCAAAGTGATTTTCTAACTCTTATTTATCATTCCCATGTGGTGCGCGCCTTGTTCCTTGGGATTGGGTATGATCCTCCTTTGAAACCTTCCTTAAACCTCCATAGGTATGATGGTTGTGGTCGGCTATAGCATTTCTTCTTGATATCCTTCCTGTCAAGTAATTAAATCCTTTCAAAATACTTGAAATCACTGATTAGATAGTTCTTAGATTGAGACCCTCAAGTAACCAGCTTGAAGTTCACAATCCAAGAGATTAAGGTAAAAACTATAAACATATTTTTGGGTCTTGGTTAGTGATCCCAAACTTCAAATTATAGTTTAGTCTATGTGAATTCATTGCATCATATAAGTTTGACAAGTAGAGATATATTTCATTCAATAACCATGAAGTTTTAAAGCGATTTAGACCATGAAATGTAACTAATGAAGTGCAATGGTTCAAATGCTCATGAATAGAGATTAATAGTGGTCATGAATGAAATATTGGAGAAGAATTTACTTACCTGTAGTGGAGATTTCGCCTTGAACAAGGGTGGGACTTTGGGTGGGACACTTTCATGGTTTTGTCTCCTTTCTTCATTTTTCGAGGTTTCTTCTCAAATTTCATGCTAGATTCTCAAATCTCTGTATCCAAAACTTCAAAAACAAAACAAAAACCATTAAACTAAAACAAAAAGTAAAAAGGGAAAAGAAAACACCTTATGGGTTGCCTCCCATATAGCGCTTGTTTAAAGTCTTTTAGCTTGACTCTTTCTCTTTCTAATTGACCAATTGATCAAATAGAAGAGTTGAGGCTCCTTTAGCTTCTCTACATTCTGGACCTGACGGTTTGAAACTCCTCCTATGGACATCTTGAAGGTCTTGAATGTAGTTGCAAGAAACAATACCACCAGTAAAGAGTTTCCTCTTCTTGTGCAGCCCATCCTTGAAGGGTTCTTTGTTTTCCTTATTCTGGAAATCAAAGCTGAACTTAGAGAAGCATCTTGAAGTTCTTATAGGCTGTGGTGTGGCATCAATCACGTCCTCCTTGTACTCCCTTGGTGTCAAAATCTTGCTTGAGACACTTGAAACCTTAATGCAGTTTGCCTTTGCCGGTATGGCAATTTCCTTAGGTATGATGAGAGGGGCTGCTGATATGACGTCTATCAACTGCTCCTGGTCATTATAAGGCTCTGATAGTGGTTCCTCTCTAGCGCACACATCTGCAGAATGAGAGCTCTTGATAGGAACCGCCGGATAGGACATGGCTTTACTGATTTTGGAGAGAGAGATTCTTTGCTTCTGAAGATCCAAGATTGCTCCATTGGCTTCAAGGAATGATGAACCAAAACTCAGGATCATGTTTTCTCCATCTTGGCTCAAGATTAACTCCAGAATGATTAACCAGTCCCATTGGCGCAGCCAAAGTATCCTTGAGAACTAGCTTCTTCTTGGCTGCAAGCTCCTGGTTGGCAACAAGTTTGTCCATGACACAAAGTTTCTCCTCAACCTCAAGCTTTATTTCTTTAACTCCATCTGGTTCCAGCTCCACATGTTTAGCTCCATCAGGTTCAAGCTCAGGTTCAAGTTCCATGTATCCAGTGCTGGGAATGATCATATCACACTCTACGACGAGCTATCTTTGATACGTAGATTATTCGACGAGCTGACTGATCTAAGGTTGTGCTTGGGCAACATGTCGACGAACTGCACTGACGACGTGGCGACGTGACGATTTGTTTGATGCCAACCTACGTTATTGACTTGCTTCTGACGAGCCAATTGATTCCTGATGAACAAAATTAGTCGTGGAGACCATTCGACGATCCGAGCTGTTCGACAACGAGCTGACTTAATCCACGAGGACGTATGATGAGCCAAACTATATGACGTCAAACCAACTCAACCGAGAAAGTCATTTGACAATCAAATTGGTTTTAATGTCGAGCTAACAGGTAGATGATGAGCTGGATTGTCCAAAGCTACGCCGAGATGAGTTGTTGACGAGTTGAACGTGTTGTTGCCTAGCCAATGTTTAGAGAAAGGTTGCAAAGTGAGAGCTTGCAGTGAAGTATAAGATTGATTAGCGAATATTTGGCCGAGCTGAAAATTCATGTAGTTGGTGGCCGAGGAATCGTCTGAGAAAGGATCGTCGAGCCGTAAGGTTTGGAGGGGAGTTAATCCTCTAAATCTTAGTTTTCATAGACGAGCAGACTTCTGCCAAAACTTTGCATGATGATGTTTAGAAAGAAAGGTTCAAGTTTTCCCGACGAATTCACACTTGGCTATTTCCGCGGTTTGAACAAACTTTCCATTGTAGAGACGTTAAGACCAGCTTTGCCGAGGGGCACTTTGTTTCAACTGGGTTTGAGTTGTCTTACTTCGGTTTTTTCCACAAACTCGCACTCGGCTGTCTTTGTGGGTTGAAGTGATCCATAGTCAAGAGACGTAAAAGACCAGTGTTACCAAGAGGCGTTTTGTCGTTTCTGGGTTTAAGGTATCTTTGTTTCAGTTTTTTCCACGATCTTACCCTCAGTAAGTTGCAGGTCGAAACAACGACAATCGATCGAATTTGTATAGTGCGCGCTTATAAGACAGAGAGTATTAGTGAAATCCGTGATGGATTGTATGAGTTTGTTTGTTGTGGCCAGCAACAAGCGAGAAGTGAGTAAGGTTGAAGTTAGTCAGAGTTGACTTGAAAGTGCGAAAACAGTTTTCGAAAGATTGAGATTAGCGGCTAGCCGCGTTACAAAGAAAAAAGACAAGAATGACTAGGCGGTAAGCCGCGAAACGTAATGGAGAGTATACGAATGTACGTACTTCTCTCCCCCCTCTTTTTTTTTTTTTGGGAGGCAACTGATCGCGGGATCAGGTCTTCCCTTTCCTATCCCTGATTCTGCAAGTGCACAGGTCAGAAGTAGTAAACGGGTATCGAACACAAGGACCAGATTGCACACTACAAGTATGAGTTTGAGAAAAGCTAGGGCAAAAGTATAAGTTGGTTGAGTGCAGAGAAAGTAAAGCATGCAAGTAATAAAAAGAAGTGAGATCAATAGGAGAGAAAGGCTAAGCAATAGGATAGTCTTGAGATAAGCAATTCAAGAAGCATGAAATCAATCAATTAGGGTTACCGCACTTAGGTGCTAATCTAGAACTTGAAACACTATGGTATGATCATTCCACTGTCGAGGCTCCGACCCCTTTGTTAATCTACCTAGTCGCTAAACTTTTGGTATGTCCCTAGGTGATTAAATCAAGCATTAGTTCGATAAGATCAATTGTTCACAACCTACAAGTAGATCAACTGTCGCAGTCTAAAAGAGATTGCCCACCAAATACTAGTTCAGGCGAATGATACAGCACTGTCGAGGCTCAAATCAACCTAAAGGCATATGCTAATTGGCCAGATTAACAACAAGCATTAAGTATAAGCAAAGATGGAGATTATAAGTAAAACCCTAATTGTGATCAATCATCAAGCATACATGAATGCTATCCTTTGACTTCCTATCACTTAACAAGTAAACTACTCAGACATAGAGAAGGAAATCGAATTCATATTCATAAGAACAGAGATTCGAATCCTCTCTAGAAAGAGTAACAAGCAAGAACAAAGTAAAAGCAAGCAAAACTTTATTAAGATGTAAAATAGATTGTGGTCTCTCTCCTTCTTGAGTTACAAGGCTAAAAAGAAGTATTTATAATGCTCTAAGTATGTAGAGGCGGCTAAACCTAATCTAGCTAGGTCGGCGCCGGCTTTGGGCTTGAATTGTGCGGATTGGGCTTCAAAAACGGCTTCGGGTCGACCGCGGCGTTCGGACGGTCGTCGGGACGGTCGGCCGGACAGTCGGGTCTTTGGCGAGTCGGAACGGTCGGGCCGGATGTTTACGGTCGGCCGGCTTGGTCGGGCGGATAGATTTGGCCGATGGTTTCTCGGCCGGACGTGGGACGTCTTCCCGGCTCGGACGGATGCATCGGCCGTGGTACGCGGAACGAGTTGCGCGGCCGCGAGGCTTTGTTTCCCGGCTCGCGCGCTTGGTCGTGCGCGGCTGGCGTGACGTTGCTTGGCCGACCGCGGGACAATGTTTCCCGGGTCGTATGCGTGATCGGCCGGATGGCTTGAACTTTGGCCGAGACTTCAGTCGGACGGAATCGGTTTTGGCCGAGCGCGGAACATCGTTCCTCGGCCAGCCGGTCTGCGCGTTCGGCGCTGATTCTCGATATGGCCGTCTGGAGCAGCCTTCACTCTTTTGGCTATAACTCCTTTTCTACTCATCCAAATGAAGCCATTCCAGTTGCGTTGGAAAGTTAACTCAATCAGAGCACGCAGGGAACTGGTCTTGATGAAATCCATTGAGTAGATCTTTTTCTAGCTCCATCCAAAGTTGATGCAGGGGCATTGAACTGGTTTAGAGTCCAAATCTCCTGTTTTGCTCCATAATGCACCTTTTTACCTAAAATGACTCTTTGCACTATAAATCCATAAAAACTACCTTTTAACACAAGAATCCACTAGAAAACCATTAGAAAACCATAGTAAAATAGCATAAAAAGTAGGTAAAATAGAGGTATATCAACTCCCCCAGACTTAGATCTTTGCTTGTCCCCAAGCAAAAAGAATCTAAACTAGTGAAGAGGTTTTGAAAAACGTGGAACTCTCTTGCTTCTTTGAAAATCCTGTGAAAGGTTCCTTTCCTGTATTCCACTAAGAACATAGTCAACATAAGGTTAGCTTCACATACACCCTGCAAGTTTAGCAACATACCAACCCAACTAGTCTCATCCAGCAATCCAAACTCTCTATTGTTAACCTCTTGCAGAAATTTAAAGCGTGAGTTCTTTATCAAGGGAAAATCGATCAATTGAACTTGTTCTTACCCACTTGATCTTCTCCAAGATTGTCTTTGAAGTGCAATGAGTTCCTTTCCTCTCTCTTTCTCACATCAGAACTTTGAAAGGTCAATTTCTCCCTACTTTTCTAGGGTATCATTTTATTTTTTCTATTGACCTTTCTTTCAACCACAGGATAAGTCTTTAGCTTGTTCCTTGTTTGATTTAGGTATTCCATAAGACATGAAGGTACAGACATATGCATTCCTCATGCTTACTTGTTTTCCTTGTGCTCTTTGAGCTTTTTCTTACCATTTGGGATGGGAGAGAGAGGTGAACTCTTTAGACAAATCTCATTGAAAATCAAGCAAGGAACTGTCGACATGTATGCCAATCCCCTTGACAAGAGTTATTAAGATTGATTAAGGGTGAGGTTAACTCTAGATTGCTTGGTTACCTTAGAAATTTCGCTGAGCTAGCATGCTGATCCACTCTAGGAGCTTCTGTTAGGCTTGTGCCTTCAGCTGATGTTTGCTCTAGGGTCATAGATTGTTAGCATGACACTATCAAATCTCAAAGCAAGTTCATTGTTCCCGGACTGGTTTTGACTCAATAAAACAGAAGTTTTGAAAAAGTGGGTTAGGAAAAACCAATTATAAGATCAAAACAACCATGAACAAACACATTAGTACCGACAATCCCCCCAGACTTAACTTGCACCGTCCCGGTGAAAGAAAATCCAATTAAGGGAGTTAAAGAAAGAGGTAATAAAGTGGTTGTGAATGTAAAAAGAAAGATGTAACCTGATTTGGTGTTACTTGAAGAATGGTGAATGCAGTGGAATGATGGTAGTGATGGAATGCAAGTGTGGTGAGGTGGGATGGGTGAGATGCAGATGGAATGAGATGGGATGGTGTGTTGGGCGGCTTGAGAGGACATGGGCGAGCGTGGAGAGGTTCTGCTCGGCCATCTAAGTCGCGCCAACTATGAACATTCTTCTTGTGGTATATCTTCTTTACCATTGTGTGGTTCTTAGATTCCTGTTTCCAAATCTCAAAACAAAACTAGACATTAACTAAAACAAATTGAAAAGAAAAGTAAAGAAAAACACCTTTCATGGGTTGCCTCCCATGCAGCGCTTCTTTTGAGTCATTAGCTTGACTGATAGGATCTCTTAGTTGGAGATGGGGTAAGGGCACGGCCTGAGACATAGTCTTTTAGTTCTTGTCTCATTGTGACCTTGAGTGTGGTCTGGTGGCTCTCTTGGGCGGCCTTGGGCAGTGATGAGGTAAGACAGCTTGTTTGGTGCAATGAATGGTATGGTCTTGTAAAAGACTGTCTTGTCCACATTGGCTAAGGACATTCGCCGGTTTGGAAGGTCCATGACAGCTCCAGCAGTGGCCAAAAAGGGTCGGCCTAGTATCAATGGTGTGTCACATCCTCCTTGAATGTTTATGACATGAAAGTCCACCGGGATCTTGATATCTCCAATCTCTAGAAGAACATCAACAACAACTCCTCTTGGCTTGGCTATAGTATGGTTAGCAAGTCCAATACTAATTTGAGCAGGTTGCAAGCGTGTGATGCCAAGGAGTTTGGCGGTTTGGGTTGGCATGAGGTTTATGCAAGAGCCAGAATCGCATAGTGTTCTATCAAAGTAATGACCATTTACTTGACAGGGAATAGAGAATTGACCTGGGTCTTCAATCTTGTAGAGGTCTTGAAGGTAGGCTGAACTTTAGCTTTCTCAAAAAGCTCTTTTATGTCTTGACGAGTTGATATACCTCTAATTTACCCACTTTTTATACTGTTTTAGTATTGTTTTCTAATGGTTTTTGGCAGGTTTTCTATCTAAAAAGGTAGTTTTACTGTGTTTATAGTGTCTAGAGTCTAAACAGGTGAAATGATGCATTTTGGAGCAAAACCATAGGATTTGCACTTCAAGCCGCTCCATGCACAAGCACCAACTTTAAGAGGGCCCAGAAAAAGATCTACTCAATGGATTTCATCAAGACCAGTTCCCTGCGTGCTCTGATTGAGTTAACTTTCCAACGCAACTGGAATGGCCTCATTTGGATGAGTAGAAAAGGAGTTATAACCAAAAGAGTGAAGACTGCTCCAGACGGCTCTATCGAGAAATCAGCGCCCAACGCGCAGTCCGGCTGGCCGAGGAACGAATGTTCCGCGCTCGGCCAAAACCGCATTCCGTCCGACTGAAGTCTCGGCCAAAGTCCAAACCACTCGGCCGATCACACGCACGACCCGGGAAACATAGCCCGCGGTCGGCCAAGCTTCAAGCTCACGCCAAGCCGCGCACGACCAAGGCGCGAGCCGGGAAACAAAGCCTCGCGGCCGCGCAACCCATCTCGCGTGCCACGGCCGATGCATCCGTCCGAGCCGGGAAAGAACGTCCCACGTCCGGCCAAGTTTCAATCCGCTCGACCACGCCGGCCGACCGCGAATCATCCGCCCCGACCGTTCCGACTCGCCCACGACCGATGTCCGGCCGATCGTCCCGCACGACCGTCCCAACGCCGCGGTCGACCCGAAGCCCTTTTGAAGCCCAAACTTATGTTTTCAAGCCCGGCTTAACCCTAAGCCGCCTCTAGAAAGACCTAGCACTATATATATGGATTTTTAGCCTCTTGAGAAAGAGAGCCGCCCTTGTATTACGAATTTCATACTTTGAGTTTTATTGCAATCATGTTTTCTTCATCTCTTTGTGTTTTTGCTTTGATTATGTCTGAGTAATTCACTAGTTAGGTTGTGAGATCTATCAAAGAGTTCATGGTTTGATAGGTTGTTAGAAGTCACATAGGGTTTATCATATCGCATCTTCGCCTCTGCTTGAATTCATTGCTGCTTGCTTTTCTGATCAACTAGCATCAGATCTTAGGTTTCATATACTCTCCAAAAGCTTGCTATATAACCTGAACTAAGTATTTGGTGAGCAAAACTTCATAGACTGCGAAAGTTGATCTATGCGGGGTTGTGAACAATTGGGTCTTGAACGAACTATTGCTTGATTTAATCACCTAGGGACATACCAAAAGTTTAGCGACTAGGTAGATTAACAAAGGGGTCGGAGCCTCGACAGTGGAAAGATCATACAATCGTGACCTGAGTTCTAGATAGCGCAAACCCTAGCGAAACCTTCTAATATCTTGTTAACCTTGAATCTCTGCGAGTTTCTCATTGCCTAGCGTTTCCCTATTGATTTTCATAAACCGTTTAATCTGCTGTTTGATTTACTTGTTACACAATCAAAACCCTAAATCATACTTGTTTTCTAGCTATATTAGACTTGCAATACTCGAAGTGTACTTATCTGCTCCTTGTGTTCGATACCCGTTTACTACTTTTGACCTGTGCACTTGCAGAATCAGGGATAGGAAAAGGGAAGACCTGATCCCGCGATCAAGTTTTTGGCGCCGTTGCCGGGGAGCAATACAGCTACCTTCGAGTTCCCAACTATAGTCTAGTCTAGAATTTCGTTTTTCCTTTTTGTTTTTGCAAACTTTTCAACTTTTGTTTTTCCTTTTTACTGTTTTCTATTTAAAGAATCTTGCCTCTATCCTTTCAGGTACTAAGCTTGAAAGAAGGACTCTAACATGAGTGATTCAGACGATCAAGAGGATAGAGAGAACTTGGCCGCGAGAGAGATCGCGCTGGCCGAGCAGCACGAAGATCCGCCGGATCCAACACGCGCACAATCGCGCCAATGATGGAGCGCGACATAATGAAGAAGTCATGGGAGACTTCGATTCCAATCCAACACTACTAATAGATCGGAATCCCATCCAGCCGCCACTTCCTGAAGGAAGAAGCTATGAGATTTCGCCGGAGATTATTGGTTTGGTGAAACAAAACCAGTTCCAAGGAAAACCCCAGGAGAATCCTTTGGAACATATTGATGCTTTTGAAGAAATTTGTGGCACCATCAGTGCAGGAGGTGCACCCAAGGAGTACTTAAAGTGCAAACTATTCTCTTTCACTTTGACAGGGAAGGCTTTGCGCTGGGTTAAGTCTCTTCCAGCTCAATCCATAACCACATGGAAAGAGTACAAGGTGGCATTCCTAGGTCACTTTTTCACAAAGCAGAGAGCAAACTTGTTGAGAGAAAAGATCTCTAGTTTCCAACAAGGGCCGGTGGAGCCTTTTCATGAAGCATTGGAGCGCTTCAAGGACTATACAAGAGAGTGTCCTAACCATGGACTATCTGAGGGCAGTCTATGGAACATTTTCTACAGAGGAATAAGTGGGAAGTGTCGATTTTCTCTTGATACAGCCAGCAATGGAAATTTCATGACCAAGACAGTTACTGAAGCAAAGATTTTGATTGAAAATCTAGCCTCAAGCGACAGTGACAACTTCATTGGCATGAGAGAGCAGTGAAGGCCATAAATTCTGATCCATACAGAGATGGATACAGCGAGATCAAAGCCATGATGGCTGAGATACTGAGAAACCAAGGAAGAGAAGTGGAGAGACAAAGAGAAGCTTATAGAGTTGAGTCCACAATAATTCAAGATTACTTTGGAGATTTGATTCCAAGTTTCCAAGAAGAAGTAAACTTTGTTGGAATAGATGGATCAGCACATAGAGAAGAAGCTTGGAAAGGGAGCATGATGTTTTTACTCAAGAATCACCCAATGAGAAGAGGGATGTTCATGGAGGAAGAAATTATCAGCAACCACCTCACAAGAGAAGAATGGAGCCAAGGAGCAATTTTGAAGATTTGATAACTTTCATCAAGAGTTCTCATAGAGAGCACACAGCCTTGATTGATGAGAGATTGGAGTCAGCCTTCACTAGATTGAATGAGAAGTTGGATTCTATTTCTTCTTTCACAAGAGACTTGGATCTTAGAGTTGCCAACATAGCCAGCTCTATTAAGAGAGAAGAAGGTGTGCTACCAGGAAAAGTGGAAATCAATCCAAGGAGAGCAGCTGTAGCAGCTATCACTCTTAGGAATGGAAAAGGGTATGAGCCACCAGCATACCCAGATCAAGAGGAAGCAAAGCCGCCAATCAAGAAGAAACCAATGGAGTATGTCATTATTGGAGATGGACTGAACCACCTAAGGAAGTCCATGTCAGAATAGAACCAGGAACTCAGGAGGAAGTGGAGAAGCCACCTGAAGAACCAAGAGTGTATGAGCCAAAGATCCCATACAGAAATGTTCTTTCTCAACCCAAGAAGGAGAAGGAGCAAGCAAAGCTCAAGGATCTTGTTAGCCAACTTTCAGTAAGGTTACCTTTCATTGATGCTGCCAAATAATTCCATCTCTCAGGAAGTATATGAAGGCCATACTCACAAGCAATGTGAGTCTTGAAGAAGGAGCAATGATGATTACAAAGGAGTGTAGTGCCATACTTCAGAATCGCATGCCAGAGAAGCTGAACGACCCAGGAAGTTTTGTTTTGTCTTGCAAGATCGGTTCTACACACTTCCATAGAGCACTTTGTGATTTGGGTTCTAGTGTGAACCTAATGCCTTACTCAGTGGCCAAGCTATTGGGCATCACTGACTTCAAACCTACAAAGATCTCTCTAGTCTTTGCAGACAGATCTGTTCGCCGCCCTGTTGGTGTTATTATGGATGTTCCAATCATGGTTGGAGATTGCTACATCCCTGCTGATTTTGTAGTTCTTGAGCTGGAACACCAACCTAAGGACCCTCTTATCTTGGGAAGGCCATTCCTAGCTACTGCAGGAGCTATAATAGATGTCAAGAATGGAAAGATTGACTTGCATCTTGGAGATATAGTGATGAATTTCGAAGTAAACAAGTCCATGGAGAAGCCAACTGTAGATGGTCAAGCTTTTTGGATTGGAGAGCTCGCAGAGACAAGAGAAGAAGTGCTGGATGAACTCCTTCTTATTGATCCCTTGGAGCTAGCTTTGACAAAAGCTGAGAATGAGTATGGATACATGGAAAGAGAAGCTCAATGCTTAGTCAAGTTCATGGATTCAAAGGAAGCTTATAAAGAGCTGATAGCTTATATGGACTTAGAGAGAGAAGAGGAAGAGCCAGACATTGACAAGAATCAGGAAATACACAAACCAAAGTTAAGTTCGACCCATGGTGCCCACTTAGAGCCCCAAAAGCCGAGCTCAAACAACTCCCAGTTGGTCTAAGGTATGAATATCTTGGTCCTAATGAAACATATCCTGTTATTGTTAATGCTGCACTAACAAAAGAAGAGACCGCTTTACTTGTTCGCGAACTGAGAAAGCATAGAAAGGCTCTTGGTTACTCTTTGGATGATTTAACAGGAATCTCACCTGAACTATGCACACATCGCATCATCCTGGAGGATGAGTCTAGTTCTTCAATTGAACACCAAAGGAGGCTAAACCCAAACCTAAAGGAAGTTGTCAAGAAGGAGATAATGAAGCTACTGAAAGCTGGAGTGATTTATCCAATATCAGATAGTGCATGGGTCAGCCCTGTACCGGCAGCAGGAGGACGAGCGCCTTGATAGCCCAAGCTGCTTTGTACTCAAGCTCTACAGGTAAATGACATGCTTTACCATAGACAAGATGAAAGGGTGTGGTACCAAGTGGTGTTTTGAAAGCAGTGCGATATGCCCATAGAGCATCATCAGTTTGGCACTCCAATCCTTTCTTGTCTTGCCTGTTGTCTTCTGAAGTATGCTCTTGAGTTCTCTGTTTGAGATCTCAACTTGTCCACTAGTTTGGGGGTGGTAAGGAGAGGCAACTTTGTGAGTAACTCCATGCTTCTTCAAAAGGTTGGCAAAGATTCTGTTTATGAAATGTGAACCTCCATCACTTATGACTATCCTAGGCACTCCAAACCTTGGAAAATGATGGATTTAAACATCTTGATGACCACTTGTGCGTCATTAGTAGGGCTGGCAATGGCTTCCACCCATTTAGAGACATAATCAACTGCCACTAGAATATATTGGTCACCAAAAGAGGTTGGGAAAGGTCCCATAAAGTCAATGCCCCAAACATCAAAAACTTCAACTTCTAGTATAAAGTTCTGTGGCATCTCATTCCTCTTGCTTATATTTCCCATTCTTTGGCAAGCATCACATCTTGATATGAATGCATGAGCATCCTTAAACATTGTTGGCCACCAAAATCCAGCTTGTAGGACCTTGGATACTGTCTTGTAAGTGGCAAAGTGCCCTGCATAGCTAGAACTATGACAAGCAAACAATATTCCTTCTACCTCTTCCTCAGGTATGCATCTTCTAAACATTCCATCTGAACATTTCTTGTATAAGTAAGGTTCATCCCAGTAGTACCTTCTTACATCACGCAGAAACTTCTTCTTTCTGTAGCCAAAGAAGTTTGGTGGTGGGTATTCAGCTGCAAGGAAGTTTGCTATGTGGCGAAACCATGGTGTGTTTGATGATGAGATCTTTGTTCCTGGCTGTGATGGCTTAGTTGTCCATGCTTATTGCTAGCTTCAGCTGCATAAACTGCTTCTTGATATACCTCCAATTTACCCACTTTTTATACTGTTTTAGTATTGTTTTATAATGGTTTTTGGCAGGTTTTCTATCTAAAAAGGTAGTTTTACTATGTTTATAGTGTCTAGAGTCTAAACAGGTGAAATGATGCATTTTGGAGCAAAACCATAAGATTTGCACTTCAAGCAGCTCCATGCACAAGCACCAGCTTTGAGAGGGCCCAGAAAAAGATCTACTCAATGGATTTCATCAAGACCAGTTCCCTGCATGCTCTGATTAAGTTAACTTTCCAACGCAATTGGAATGGCCTAATTTGGATGAGTAGAAAAGGAATTATAGCCAAAAGAGTGAAGGATGCTCCAGACGGCCATATCGAGAAATCAGTGTCCGAATGCGCAGACCGGCTGGCCGAGGAATGAATGTTCCGCGCTCGGCCAAAACCGCATTCGTCCGACTGACGTCTCGGCCAAAGTCTTCACCACTCGGCCGATCACACGGCACGACCCGGGATACATACACCCGCGGTCGGTCAAGCTTCAATTACTCCACGCCACACCGCACACGACCAACGCGCACGACCAGGGAAACAAAGCCTCGCGGCCGCGCAACCCGTTCCGCGTGCCACGGCCGATGCATCCGCACGAGCCGGGAAAGAATGTCCCACGTCCGGCCGAGAATCTTCTTCGGCCAAGTTTCAATCCGCTCGACCACGCCGGCCGACCGCGAATCAATCCGACCCCGACCGTTCCGACTCGCCCACGTTCCGACTATCCGGCCGATCATCCCGCACGACCGTCCCAACGCCACGGTGATATCACCATATTTTACATGATTTTACTATATATTTACTATGTTTTCAAACGGTTTTTGCAAGATTCTTTGCCTTTAGAGGTAGTTTTCTTGTATTTGTGGGATTTGAAGTCTTTGTAGGTGAAAATCAAAAAGGATGCAAAAAGGAGTAAAAGAGCCCTAAATCAAGATCCATGCAAGTTTCCAAGTCAAGAAGATCATTTTATCTCCAAGTGTTAGTTCTCGCTGCGCGCAGAACGAAGCTTCGGAAGTTTGGCCGCGCGCGGAGGAGTTCCCGACGTCGAAGTGAATGAAGCCATTTGGATCAACTATGAGGCCTAGACTTATTTTCTACCGAGACATGTCCGGTAAGCGAGCAAACGAAGCCCATGGAGGATTTGGAGTGTCTAATGGCCCGAGCAGCAGCGCCAAAGGCCTTGATCGAATAGAGAAGAGGCCTGGCTAATGTTTGGAGCTTTCCTTGGTACAATGTCGGCCCATACACGACGTGGAGAAGAAGGCTTTGCTCGCATGGGAAACTTTCCTTTTCCGGCATGAAGAAAACCCTACGCGACTTCGCCCATATATACATGTTTTTAGCCGCTGAAGAAGAGAGTCGAGAAAATTATCAAAGAGTGTGAGAAGAGAGAAGAGAGAGAGAAGCCCTAGGAGATCGTCCAAGAAGAAGGAGGCGCCGCTCAACTCTTGTTCTTTTTTTCATTGTTTCCATTTCTATAAACTTGATCTTAAGAGTTTTCAAGGGAGAATCCGACTTTGTTCATCAATAGAGAAGCTTTCTTCATCCCTTTATCTCTTTTAATACTTGCATAATGTTTACAATCATGCTTTGCTTGCTTGTTTGCATCATGGCCGAGTAGATCTCTTAGTTAGGCCGAGGAGATCTATGGTGGCCGTGATGATTTGATTGTGTTGCAACTTATTGGGATTTATCTTATGGATCTTCACCTTTACTTGAGCTTAATGCATGATTACTCTACCGTACATCTAGTAATCTGATCTTAGAGAAATAGAACCACGACAGTGCTGAATCTAGATCTCAAAACTAGTATTTGGTGAGCAATAGATCATAGCCAACGAAAGCTGAGTTATGGTTTATTGTGAACAATTGAATCTTGAACCTTTAATGCATGTTTGCAATTCTAATAGCCAACGAAAGCTGAGTATATTAGGTTGTTTTAAACATAGTGGTTGGAGCCACGACAGTGGAAAGACCATACACTAGTGATTCATGTTCAAGACGGCTCTACACACATCCCATGCAACTATCTTTTCATCATTGCTCCATATGATTGTCCTTTGCCTAACTCTTGTTTTAAATTGTTTACAAACTCACTCACATTTTTTTTTTTTTTTCTCATTCTAGGTCCAAAACCATCCATATTGCGAGCTAGCTACAAACCAATCTCACAAGGTGTTAAGTGAGAACACTTCCTCCTCGTGTTCGACCCCGACTACAACACGGCTGTGCACTTGCAGCTCATTAGTTGGGTTTATAAATTGTGAAAATTTGAGGCAATCTAAACCCGCCATCAAGCTTTCTGGCGCCGTTGCCGGGGAGGAGTTGCTTTTCCTTCACACCTCTTGATTGATTTCAAGACTAGCTCATCTCATCTTTCACTTTTCTTTGTTTTTGTTTTTCATAAAATCTTAAAAACTCATAAAAATTTTACTTAACTCTCTCTCTTTGTGTGTTTCTAAGGTGCATGACAAGAAGGTCCAATCCAAATACAACCATTGAAGAAGATCTTGACATTGACCAACTTGAGCGCACACTTAGGCGACTAAGAAGAGAAAGAATGAATCCAGGCGGAGAAGGCGCGCCAAATAGGCCACACAACCCGCCCGACCAAGAGAGGAGAGCCAATGATCCTCCTAATCCAGCAGAAGCTAGAGCTGACCAGCCAGCACCGGCCAGAGACGTTCCTCCACCCAATCCGAACGCGCCCGATGCAGCTGAGCCGCTACAGCCACCTCTTAACCCGTTTGCAAATGGACATCATCGTCACGGTGACAACCAAGGGATGCCTCAAGACCAACCTCACGCACCTCCAAGGAGAGTGCCAAACGCGCAGCATCCAAGGCACCAAACTATGGGAGACTTTGATTCGTCCGATGCTTTCTTTATGGATCGGAATCCAATCCGACCGCCTCTACCTCCAAGGAACGATTTTGAGATCAAACCGCAGATCATTGCCTTGGTGAAGCAAAACCAATTCCATGGTTTGCCCACTGAGCATCCTCTTGATCACGTCGACACCTTTGAGGAGATATGTAGCACAACTCGTGTTAATGGAGTATCGCCGGATTACTTCAAGTGCAAGCTATTCACTTTTTCTCTAAGTGACAAGGCGCTAAGATGGGTAAAATCTTTACCACCTCAGTCCATTACAACATGGAATGAATACAAGGGAGCTTTCTTGAACCAATTCTACACTAAGCAAAGATCCAACTCTATAAGGAGCAAGATTTCTGGTTTCAAGCAAGATTCAATGGAGTCATTCTATGAAGCTTTGGAGAGATTCAAGGAGTACACAAGAAGCTGCCCTAACCATGGCTTTTCAGAAGGTAACCTTTGGAACATCTTTTACAATGGGATTGATCATAAATACAAGCTTTCTCTCGATACCGCGAGCAATGGTAATTTCATGACCAAGTCGGTGCCGGAGGCAAAGCTTTTGATTGAGAATCTCGCTGCTAGTGATGCCAATGCATGCCCTGACTACAATAGAAGCGTGAAGACCACGAGCTCATCAGAATCAGCTCAAATCTCGGAGCTAAGGAACATGGTTTCACAACTACTTAAAAGCCGACAAGGAGTTCACGCCATTGAAGATGCCCTAGCCACAAATGAAGACACTCTTATGGATTTCATGAGAGATGGCGCTGAAGAGAATCTAGAGGAAGTCAACTACATTGGAGGAAACTATGGGAATAGAGGATTCAATCCACCATTTCGCGCGCATCCAAACCTATCATACCGGAGCAACAATGTGGAGAATCCAAATGACCAAGTCTACCCCAATCAAGGAGCGTATCAAGGAGGCCAATACCAATCCAAGCCACAACAAGTCTATCCAAGAGGGATGTACCAAGTGAAGCAACCATTCACTTTTTCTCAAGAAACAAATCCAACCCAAACCGGAGAGAAGGTTGACGTGGCCTTGAAGAAATACATGGAGGAGCAGAGATTGATCACCAAGAACCTATATGAGAAGCTTGATCACATGTTTGGTGATCTAAGCAGCAAGTTTGGGTCTCTCTCTACTCACGTTCAAAAGCTTGAGGTGCAAATCGCTCAAACAGCCGAGGCGGCCAAGAAACAAAATGAGGTAAACACTCAAAAATTTTGTAGTGTTGTCTCATCTATAGATGGCACTATTGTTCCTACACTATCTCAAGGGGAAGAAGAAGAAAATGAGCCTAAGGAGAGGCACAAACCGGAGAGATACAGTTGGGAATCAAGAAGAGCTTACAAGAGAAGACTTGAAGGCAAGCCACTACAAAAACAAGAAGATCCGGGGAAGTTTGTGATAACTTCAAGTATCAATGGCATTCAACTCCACGATTGCCTATGTGATACTGGTGCTAATGTTAATCTAATGTCTCTTGCACTTGCAAAAGATTTGGGATTCAAGGAATTCAAGAGCCCCAAGATAAGAGTCGAGTTCGCGGATCTATCGTGCATGGAACCTTATGGAATGCTTGAAGATGTCATGATGGAAATAGGGGGTCGATCGGTCCCAACTGACTTTCAAGTCATGATTTGGGAAGGCTCAAAGAGGAATCAACTGATTCTTGGAACCCCATTCCTTGCTACAGCTGGAGCGGTCCTAAACTACTTTGGGAATCATCTATCTTTTGGCCACATCCGGCAAGATATCTTTTTCCCAAGTGTAAATTTCAGGTCAGTGCCAAGTGCGACCAAGCTACCACCAGAAGAAGCCACTCTCACCCTAAGAAAGAAGCCGTGATGCATGGAGAAAGAAGAGAGAGTGAGCGCTACCCAAAACCAAAGGAGAAGAAGAAAACATTGGAGCCGAGGCATGAAAATGTCTTTAAGGAATCAACTCCATCTTACTTCCAACCTTTGATAATATGGAGCTGAAGAGGAGACTAATGGTGCACCTAATCTCTTTCACAAGATAAGAATCTTTACACCAAAAGATTCGGAGCTTAAAGGTGACCAATCCATTGAAGAGAAGCTTGAGAGAACTATGAAGCTTTTCCCCAAGGCATTGGTTTTCAAAGATGATGTGAGAGATGACTATGGCGCGACAACACCACCACAAGAAGCCACTGAACCGGAGAATGGAGAAGCTAAAGGGATCCTTTGCCCTTCAGCCACTCTTCACCACGATTGAAAGAAAGAAAAGGAGTCAAGCTAAATGACTTAAAACAAAAGCGCTTTATGGGAGGCAACCCATATGGTTTTTAACTATTATTTCTATTTTGCAGGAGTTTTTCAAAAATCAAACAAAAATACAAAAATATTTTCTTAGGATGAAGACCCAAAGGAGACCAAACAATGGAAGTGTCCCACCCAATGAGCCCACCCTTGTACAAGGCGTTTCTCTTCCAAAAGGTAAGTAAACTCTCACCTAGTATTCATTTCTAATCACTCTTGATCTTCACTTGAAAAATCGTTTAAACCATTGCACTTTATCAAATATATTTCATGGTTTAACTTGATTTACTTTTGATGATTGGAAAGAATACATAATCACTTGTCAAAACTCATTCTTGCTCACTGAAATTACAAGAGATTGAACTATAGTTTGAAATTTGGATCATTAACCAAGACCAAATAAGAATTTATAGTTTGTGCTTTAATCTCTTGGATTGTGAACTTCAAGTTGGTCACTTGAGGATCACAATCTGAGAAACCATCTAATCATGATTTCAAGTGTTTTGCAAGGAGTTAACCATTTGACAGGAAGGAGAAATAGCAAACCTATAACCACCTCAAAACCAACATGCATATGGCGGCCAAAGGGAGGTTAAAAGGAGATACATAGGCCATCACACGAAACAAGGCGGCCACCACTTGGGAATGACACAGGAGGGTTATTAAAACAATTCGGTCGAAGAAAATCTCAATTGGCCCGAGTGGATTTGAAGAAATTCAATCCAGGACATTTCTCTCGGCCATACCGCGCACAAGGAGACCAACTACGGCCAACTCCTAAACGGCGTGACCAAAGTCCACCAAACTTCACAGGCGACCATAAAATCACATTTGGTCGGCAAATCCAAAAGATAGGACGGAGAAATCATCACGGATCATGAGATAGACGACGGAGCTCATTCTGGCCGATGGCGCGCAAGCAATATGGCCGACAAAACCAAATCACGGCATAGGCGCGCCAACCGGTTGGAAAACTCTTCTTTGAGCTTAACTAACACTTTTATGCAGGAAGAAACGAAAAGGAACGAGCCAAACTTCACATGGCCAAGGAAACTCCTTCCCGGAGCCGACTTGACCATTTTGTGAAGGAAGTCTCAATCCGCTCGTACAAATGCTCCCAAACTTCACCAGAGGCTATAAAATACCAGGTTGGTCGATGAAATTTCAATATAGGTCATGAAATTTTTGACGGTTTGTTCTGTAGTTCACAGCACCACATTTTGGCCGACCGAATATACCAATCTCGGCCAAAACACAAACCGGCGGAAACCAAGGCCTGAAATTAAAAACTCACCGACCAATATTGCCTAAAGAAGTGTAGAATGACCCAAACCAGAACTGATCTTCATTATAAATTGGTCGACATTTGGTAACATCATCCTAAACCTTTTTCTTTTCAATTTTTCATTTGAACTTCATGTTATGCCTCTCTTAATCCGATTTGATTTCACCGGGACGGTGCAAGTTAAGTCTGGGGGGATTACTAACAATGTTTGTTCATTTTGGCATTTTCATTTGCATTTTTCCCTTTTATCGAGTCGTTTTTATTGAGTCAAAATTTTTGTCGAGAATCATGACCTTATCTTGGATCTAACCATGGTTGTACTAATGTTTAAGTGACCATTGAGCAGTTCTTGGCAATACATCTTACCACAGGTGCACTATGAGTTGATCGATCTACCAAAAACGCCTACATCTCTAAAGACTTGAGAAGGATCCATCTTTGACTCCGCCCTTAATGAACTTAATCTTCTCAGCTAGGGGCTTGGCATACAAATGGCATGATTCCTCATCCTCTCCATCAAATGAAAAAGTCTTAGTGAGTTCGTGCTTCCCTCTCTCTCCCCTTCAATTTAAAGAAAAAGCGTAAGGTCCAAGTAACCGGGGATTCGGTGGCAAACACCATCAATACTCGCGTCTATGGAAGGCCTATGAATCCAAGCAACCGGGGATTCGGTGGCAAACACCATCAATACTCGCGTCTGTGGAAGATCCAAGCAAAACCTCTATAATAAAGAGAAGGAGTTGAATAAAAAAATACTTCGCTACCCTAAAAAAGGGATGAATCAACTCAAAGAAGTGAGAAGAGAGAGAGGAGAAACATGGAGTAAAAGACAAGTGCCAAACAAGGGGATGAGTAAAGAATCTAAAAGCCGGCTGATCGATACTCCCTAGTTGAGACCACACCTTTAGAAATGAAAGGAGTCAAGGGTGGCGAATTGGATTGTCCAAGGAGAGGTGGACCGCTTTGGGAAAATCGCAAAACTCATGGTATGTACTTTGTTCTTAATTCAAAACTTGCCAATGCTGTTTCATGTGGATTACTAAAGCATAAGTCAATTTGGATTTCCAAAAGATTTGAGAGTTCTCACGTTTTCAAACCTCTTTTCCTGCTTAGTTTGCTTGGGGACAAGCAAAAGGCTAAGTCTGGGGGAGTTGATATCACCATATTTTACATGATTTTACTATATAATTACTATGTTTTCAAACGGTTTTTGCAAGATTCTTTGCCTTTAGAGGTAGTTTTCTTGTATTTGTGGGATTTGAAGTCTTTGTAGGTGAAACCATCAAAAAGGATGCAAAAAGGAGTAAAAGAGCCCTAAATCAAGATCCATGCAAGTTTCCAAGTCAAGAAGATCATTTTATCTCCAAGTGTTAGTTCTCGCTGCGCGCAGAACGAAGCTTCGGAAGTTTGGCCGCGCGCGGAGGAGTTCCCGACGTCCAAAAGTTACGATCTTGATATGGAAAGATAGATACTTGAGTCATGCATCACGTCGAAGTGGAATGAAGCCATTTGGATCAACTATGAGGCCTAGACTTATTTTCTACCGAGACATGTCCGGTAAGCGAGTAAACGAAGCCCATGGAGGATTTGGAGTGTCTAATGGCCCGAGCAGCAGCGCCAAAGGCCTTGATCGAATAGAGAAGAGGCCTGGCTAATGTTTGGAGCTTTCCTTGGTACAATGTCGGCCCATACACGACGTGGAGAAGAAGGCTTTGCGCATGGAAACTTTCCTTTTCCGGCATGAAGAAAACCCTACGCGACTTCGCCCATATATACATGTTTTTAGCCGCTGAAGAAGAGAGTCGAGAGAATCAATACAAGAGTGTGAGAAGAGAGAGAGAGAGAAGCCCTAGGAGATCGTCCAAGAAGAAGGAGGCGCCGCTCAACTCTTGTTCTTTTTTTTCATTGTTTCCATTTCTATAAACTTGATCTTAAGAGTTTTCAAGGGAGAATCCGACTTTGTTCATCAATAGAGAAGCTTTCTTCATCCCTTTATCTCTTTTAATACTTGCATAATGTTTACAATCATGCTTTGCTTGCTTGTTTGCATCATGGCCGAGTAGATCTCTTAGTTAGGCCGAGGAGATCTATGGTGGCCGTGATGATTTGATTGTGTTGCAACTTATTGGGATTTATCTTATGGATCTTCACCTTTACTTGAGCTTAATGCATGATTACTCTACCGTACATCTAGTAATCTGATCTTAGAGAAATAGAACCACGACAGTGCTGAATCTAGATCTCAAAACTAGTATTTGGTGAGCAATAGATCATAGCCAACGAAAGCTGAGTTATGGTTTATTGTGAACAATTGAATCTTGAACCTTTAATGCATGTTTGCAATTCTAATAGCCAACGAAAGCTGAGTATATTAGGTTGTTTTAAACATAGTGGTTGGAGCCACGACAGTGGAAAGACCATACACTAGTGATTCATGTTCAAGACGGCTCTACACACATCCCATGCAACTATCTTTTCATCATTGCTCCATATGATTGTCCTTTGCCTAACTCTTGTTTTAAATTGTTTACAACTCACTCACATTTCTTTTGTTTTTTTTCTCATTCTAGGTCCAAAACCATCCATATTGCGAGCTAGCTACAAACCAATCTCACAAAGGTGTTAAGTGAGAACACTTCCTCCTCGTGTTCGACCCCGACTACAACACGGCTGTGCACTTGCAGCTCATTAGTTGGGTTTATAAATTGTGAAAATTTGAGGCAATCTAAACCCGCCATCACGCGGTCGACCCGAAGCCCTTTTTGAAGCCCAAACTTATGTTTTCAAGCCCGGCTTAACCCTAGCCGCCTCTAGAAAGACCTAGCACTATATATATGGATTTTTAGCCTCTTGAGAAAGAGAGCCGCCCTGTATTTCGATTTCCTACTCTAAGTTTTATTGCAATCATGTTTTCTTCATCTCTATGTGTGTTTGCTTTGATCATGTCTGAGTAATCCACTAGTTAGGTTGCTAGGGTTACTATTCAATGAGTTGCTTGCATGATCTTTGATTTCAATGATTAGCTAGGGATTATATTAGAGTCTTTGTCTCGTCTTGTGCACTTAACTAATGCTGATTGCTTTACCGCGCATCTAGTAATCCGATCTTAGGTTGATTTGAGCCTCGACAGTGCTGTATCATTCGCCGGACATATTCTTTGACAAGCTAGGTTTCTTAGACTGCGAAAGTTGATCTATCTATATCTAGTGAACTGTATCAGAACCTATTCATTCTAATGCTTGATCTAATCACCTAGGGACATACCAAAAGTTTAGCGACTAGGTAGATTAGCAAAGGAGCCGGAGCCTCGAAAGTGGAATGGTTTTATATTCGTGATCTGTGTTCTAGATGGTTCTTAATATCCCAATATCCCTAATCAATTAATCTATCATTGTTTCATTGATCATTGCTTGCTTCTCTGCGATAGCCCCTATGACCTAGCGCTTTTCCTTTATTGCTTACAACCTCGTTATACTTGCTAGTTCGGTTCACCATTACAACCTCAATCATACTTTTGTTTTAGCTTGATCCAAAATCCATAGTTACAAAGTGTACTCAATAGCCAGTCCTTGTGTTCGATACCCATACTTCCGCGATCTGTGCACTTGCAGAGGTCTAGGAGTTTGGTAAAACCTGACTCCGCATCACTTCTTCAGGTAGCCTATCATCAAGGGGTAGATCTTCTTCATCCTTGAAAGTGATCAGCTACTCCATTATCTGCTCCTCTTCTATCCTTGATCTCAAGATCAAATTCTTGCAATAGTAGTATCCATCTCAATCTTGGCTTGGCATCTTTCTTAGATAAAAGATACCTTAATGCTGCATGATCAGATGAACTATAACTTTCGATCCCACCAAGTATGATCGAAATTTCTCAAATGCAAAGACAATAGCAAGAAGCTCCTTTTCTGTTGTGGCATACTTGCATTGTGCCTCATCAAGTGTTCTGCTGGCATAGTAGATCACATGTAGCTTCTTGTCTTTTCTTTGTCCAAGCACTGCTCCTACTGCATAATCACTTGCATCACACATTATCTCAAAAGGTAGTTCCCAGTTTGGAGGTTGAACCACTGGCGCACTGACCAATGCATCTTTGATCTTAGTGAAAGCCTTGTGACACTCCTCTGTGAACTCAAAGTTAATATCCTTGCATAATAGGCGTGTTAGCGGCCTTGCTATCTGTGAGAAATCTTTAATGAACCTCCTGTAGAATCCAGCATGTCCTAGGAAGCTTCTGATATCTTTAACTGTCTTGGGCGGCTGAAGGTTTGTCATTACTTCAATCTTGGCCTTGTCAACTTCTATGCCTCTCTCTGAGATTCTATGTCCAAGCACTATTCCATCTCTAACCATAAAATGGCACTTCTCCCAATTTAGAACTAGGTGCTTGTCTTCACATCTCTGTAGCACTCTTCCAAGATTTCCCAAACATGATTCAAAGGAAGAACCATATACTGAGAAATCATCCATGAAAACCTCCATAATCTCTTCTATAGATCTGTGAATATGGACATCATACACCTTTGGAATGTAGCTGGAGCATTGCACAATCCAAAAGGCATTCTCCTATAAGCATATGTGCCATAGGGACAAGTGAATGTAGTCTTCTCCTGATCATCTGGGTGGATTGGAATTTGGAAAAATCCTGAGTATCCATCCAAGAAACAGTAGTATTGATGATTGGCAAGGCGCTCAAGCATCTGGTCTATGAATGGCAAGGGGTAGTGGTCCTTGCGCGTGGAGGAGTTCAGTTTCCTGTAGTCGACACACATTCTGTGTCCAGTGATTGTCCTTGTTGGAATGAGCTCATCATGTTCATTCTTGATGACTGTGATCCCTCCTTTCTTTGGCACGACATGTACAGGGCTGACCCATGCACTATCTGATATTGGATAAATCACTCCAGCTTTCAATAGCTTCATTATCTCCTTCTTGACAACTTCCTTTAGGTTTGGGTTTAGCCTCCTTTGGTGTTCAATTGAAGAACTAGACTCATCCTCCAGGATGATGCGATGTGTGCATAGTTCAGGTGAGATTCCTGTTAAATCATCCAAAGAAGTAACCAAGAGCCTTTCTATGCTTTCTCAGTTCGCGAACAAGTAAAGCGGTCTCTTCTTTTGTTAGTGCAGCATTAACAATAACAGGATATGTTTCATTAGGACCAAGATATTCATACCTTAGACCAACTGGGAGTTGTTTTAGCTCGGCTTTTGGAGCTCTAAGTGGGCACCATGGGTCGAACTTAACTTTGGTTTGTGATATTTCCTGACCTTGTCAATGTCTGGCTCTTCCTCTTCTCTCTCTAAGTCCATATAAGCTATCAGCTCTTTATAAGCTTCCTTGGAATCCATGAACTTGACTAAGCATTGAGCTTCTCTTTCCATGTATCCATACTCATTCTCAGCCTTTGTCAAAGCTAGCTCCAAGGGATCAATAAGAAGGAGTTCATCCAGCACTTCTTCTCTTGTCTCTGCGAGCTCTCCAATCCAAAAAGCTTGACCATCTACAGTTGGCTTCTCCATAGACTTGTTTACCTTCGAAATTCATCACTATATCTCCAAGATGCAAGTCAATCTTTCCATTCTTGACATCTATTATAGCTCCTGCAGTAGCTAGGAATGGCCTTCCCAAGATAAGAGGGTCTTTAGGTTGGTGTTCCAGCTCAAGAACTACAAA